CCTGCTGGAAATGCTTATGCAATGAACAGTAATATTCAGATTGAAAAAATGAGAATGTCTCATTTAATATAATTCTGCTCATACTATTGGGTCATTTTATTTAAAATAAAAATAATTATTTTTAAAAATACATTTTAAAAAGAAAAATATGTCATAACTTTAATCATTATTTTTTATTTATTTATTTTGGAGACGTTGCGCTCACCAGACAGACAGAAAGTGAGATGTTTAGCTGATGAAGGTCACTAATGTAATTAAAAGTCACTTCTAAGTGAAATTAAAACTTTAAAGTGGTTACTTTGTTGCATTGTTCATGTTAGATATGCACCTTCCAAGGTATTGGGTCATTGGAAAAGTCTTGATGCAGTTTTTGCACAGAAAAATATGTCATGGGGGGCCAGTCGATGGCATGGTGGTTTAGGCGCTGGACTGATCATGGTTCAAGTCCTGGACCTGGTGACTTGCTTTCTCACTTTCTCTCTGTTTCTAGCTCTGTCCACATTAAAATAATAATGATGATAATAGGACCAGCAGTTAGCATAATGGCTATGTCGCTGGACTATGTAGCTGAACGCGGTTCAAGTCCTGACCCAGTGGCTTAAACTCACGCCGGGCGTGTGTGCACGCATGCCCAAGATCCCAAGAGGAGAATGGGGGAGAAGGGATTGCGACGTGGCCATCCCCCCCGGGGTGTGATTTCTTACTTTCTATCTCTCTGTCTGGCAAGCACATGCACCCTGTAGCAAAAACCTCTCCAAAAAAATAAAAATAAAAAACAGCCTGACCTGACCTCAAGTGGGCCCGCAGGTGGCACCGAGGTTAGGATGGCTGGAGTCCTGGACCTGGCAGCTTGAAAATCATGCCAGATGCATGTGCATGCATGCCCCAAATCCTACGTCAAATGGAGAAGGGCCTGCTGCACGGCCATGTCACCTGGGGGTGATTTCTTACTTTCCCTCCCTCTTCTATTCTCTCTGGTCAGCACACGCACCCTATAGCAAAACCAAAATGAAAACAAGAAACAAAAAACACTGGCCTCAAGCTCCTTTCATCTTTTCTTCCTCTGAACAACAGCCATTCTAACTGTGTGCCAATTAAAAGGAAAGTTGATCTGGAGGCCATTTACATAAGACGGTTTCTCAGGACCCATTTTTTCAAAAGTATGGTTCAATGCATTTGAAGTGGGGCTAGGAAACCAGGTTTTCCGAATACACTAAACAACCAGGGTCAGAGATCTTGTGAAGGGCTTGTTCAGAACAGCCTTCACAGAACAGGTGGCATTGTGGTTAAGATAGCTGGATTGCATGTGTCCCAGTGGCTTGAAAACCACACCAAACACATGCGCATGTATTCCCTAAGGGAGAATGGAAGAGAAGGGATTGCAGCATGGCCATCCCCAATTTCTCACTTTCTCTCTCTCTGGTCAGTATAAGCACCCTCTGGCAAAATTTAATAATAAACAAACCAGACTAGCCTTCACCATGAGCTGGTACGCTCTTGTGTACCAGGTACAACAGCTGTAAGCTAAGAAGACCCTAAGCCTCCCAATATCTGGGAAATGTACTACCTTAAAGCTGTTATGTTTAACTTCTATTAGAATTTAGTGTCTGTGGAACCAGCAGTTGGCGTAATGGCTATTGTTGCTGGACTCTCATGGAGTTGAATGTGATTCGAGTACTGGACCCAGTGGCTTAAACTCATGCTAGGCATGTGCGTGGGTGCCCAAGATCCCAAGAGAAGAATGGAGGAGAAGGGATTGTGGTGTGGTCAACCCCCCTGGGGGGTGATTTCTCACTTTCTGTCTTTCTGGCAAATGCACACGCCCTACAGCAAAAACCTCTCTAAACAAAACAAAACAAAACAAAACAAAAAGCCCCCAAGAAATTAGTGTCTGTGAAAGATACTGAAGAAGCATAAATCCAAACTGGTTTCTAAAACCTCCATACTCTGGTCAATAGGACCTTTCCATCGCATTTACCAATCCATGTCATTTTACAGCCACAAGAACTGAGGCAAGGAAGTAAAGGTGAGTTTTGCTTAAGGAAGCTCCATTAATGAAAGAGTTCATTTAACTTGTGGTTTGACTCTGCTAGGAAGCAGGTTCTCTTAAGGAATTAGAAGATCCTTGAAGGTAATACGTGTCTAATGAAGACAACAATTTCCCTTTGTCCTCAGGCTTCCGTGAACTGCAGAGAGTTCTGTGCGTGTGAGTAGGTGCTGCTGTTCCGATGATCACATCCAGTAACATTTCCCTGGTGGGGCATATGTCAATGTCCTTAGGGCAAGTGGTAGTGGAAAACTCTTATTCTTGCCAAAGAGATGCTCTGTAATTTTTTTCCTCCAAAGTTTTTTTCTCTCTTTGGGTCAAGGCAGGTATAATAAAAGAATAAACTGTTATAAACTACCTCTCATTTGTTTAATATCTAACATTTTTCAAATTCAGCTCTTGGTTCCCCAAGCAACTTAAAGTTGCTTCACAATAAAGATTCCCACTCTCAACAAATTCTCAGAGTACACTTTAGGTTAGGTTACCAAGACTATAACAAGAAAGAGTCACTTAAAGGAAATTAATACTTTGCCACGTTTTAAAACTGAATATGAGTCGCCTGATGGCATGGTGGTTAAGGTGGCTGGATCCCCCTGGCCAATTGCGGTTTGAGTCCTGGACCCTGTGGCTCGAAAAACATGCTAAGTATGTATGCGTGTCCAGGCCCAAAATCCCAAGAGGAGAACTGGAGAAGGGACTGTAGTGTGGCCATCCCCCAGGGGGTGTTACACATTCTTCCTCTCTGTGGCAAATGTATGTGTGCACTACAGCAAAAACTAAATAATTCAAATAAATAGATCCACTTTACTGTAGCAAATTACTCCAGAGTTCAAATCTTTTATAAGAGAAAACTATATAAGATCAGTGGTGGTTAAGGAGCTGGACTCTCACGTGACTGACCGTGGTTCGAGTCCTGGACCTAGAGGCAAGTTCTTTCTCTCTGATCAAATTGAAGAATAAATAAACAAAATAAAACAAAACAATTATTTAA